GTTTTAGCATAAACCTACTAGCATACTCTCACGAATCCTGCAATCTGATTGGCTAACGTACTCACTATCTATCTTGTGATAGATAGCGAGTAGCGAAAAATAAGCAAGTGCATGCTCAAGTTTCGTCGAAATCTCTGCTTGTTCTCTAAAAAATCTTTAAAGATCGATTGTAGAAAAGACAAGACTCTATCAAGCAAAGGAATTGAGGTTTTGAACGGTACAGATAAGTGAAAAATGAAGAATTATGGCAATTTAACACGAAAAAGCGGCCGTCAGATTTCGCTGAGATTTTCATGTGCAAACTTTACGACGGACAAACAACTGACTACTGAAATAACGATGGTATTTTAAAAGAATTTCCCTCAAAGAACAAACAAAATCCAAAAGACAACTTATTCACATGTATTCAAGAAGAATTTTAAACGGTAAGAACAGACGAAACAATAAAGAAAGTGCAAGTTAATGACAATAATCTTATATAAGGCAATTGTAAACATGGCACGGCTTTGAATGATCTGACAACAAAGTATTTGTAAATAAATTATTTCAGTTTACCACTCATTAATTAGAAAAATGATCCCAAGAAGTGATAAGATAAAGAACAGAGAGAAAGAGAGTTTTGACAGTAATATTAGAGACAGAAAGTTATAAAAATAGAGCAAATTTAAGCTTTACGTTAATACTTCGAGTTATAAGTCCTTCCTGCCGATTATAAGCCCCTCCCCTAGTTATTAACTCCCCCCATTACATGGAAAACACAGAGGATAGAATTTCTACATTCGTGAATTTGGCTTCTGGAGTTACGAGTCGTTCAAGTGATGAAAATGGTAAAATTTACATAAAGGTCTCTCAAGAGAACCTGCTCCATTTTCAACCATTGTCTTCATGTGTGACATTCCAACAACGGTCTTTGTCCTCTAGTGCGAAGCACTGTAAACCTCGTAGAACAAAGAGAGCAGTTTTATATTATTCAAATTCCATTGCAACAACTCAACTCATTAATATCATTACACAAATTATACAATACGCATGTTTGGGCTAAAATAGAGCAATTTAATAATGTTCATATTTGGACAATACAACTGCTGACTTTAGGGAGGGAGGGTAGGGTGAAAACGCGTAGACTACAGAACGACGAACACTGCAATATGAAACACTACACTTAATGTACGTGATCTAGTTACATAGCTATGTCCTTGTGACAGGTAACCGAATCCCTACCGCTCCACTCCCATTAACCTATGTTAATACTTAACATCACTTAATATCATTACACAAATTATACAATACGCATGTTTGGGCTAAAATAGAGCAATTTAATAATGTTCATATTTGGACAATACAACTGCCCAAATAGAGTGGCCCAAATATGAGAAAGAACTGTATATGTAGTTATAAAAATTTAAACTTGACTAGGTGTGTAAGGGTCGGCATATTGATATGTCGAGTGTTCTGTCTTTGAGATTTTTTCGGCGATACTGATGAAAAGGCTCACTGGTGAACGAATATAACGTTTATAACAATCGGAGTTCCATCTTCCCAGGAGCTTAATCTCGTAGTCTTTGAGTCCGGCAGTCGCTGCTGATGTGGCGCCACCGATCCGAAAGTTATTCTGCTATAAGATCCTGAGTCAATTCCTAGTAGGCGTAAGAGTACCGCGAGATAGTTAGCCATGTTCAAGCGAGCTAAGGTTGATCCCGAAGACAGGCCGAACAGTGGACCGTCACTCCTGTCTTGCGAACGTAGACGCTGTAGATGTAAGTTTGACTTCATTGCGCAAACAGCACAGACCRTGTGTTTCGCGTGACCGGTGTAGAGTGTCACTCCCTGTCGTTTCTGATCAGTTTTTGACGTTTTGACGTGTAACRCCAGATATTCATCGTTGTTGGCTGTAGTAGTAATGTTAACGTCGCTGATTGTAAGCATAGGATCTGAAGAATCGGTACTCATGAATTCGCTGGCCCGTAGTAATTGAAAATGAGGAATTGTCATAGCCGACCAGTAAACAGTATCATCCGGGTTTGCTAGGTCGATGAAAATGTACATTTTACAGAGTAGGTCAAATGTTATAGGTAGTTTTTGTTTTACTAGCGAAAAGTGTTTCCTTTCTATTCCTCGTAATGTCTGTTGTAGTTTTATAGTGTTAGTTAAAGGGTTGTGGTAGCCATTGCTGATGTGCAGTGCGCGAACTCCAGCCATGCATACTTTAATACTTTGGGGTTTAATTCGTTGCGCTAGATGCGTAATGAAGAGTATCAATGTGGTTTCATCTCCAGGTAGTGCTGTGAGTCTATGTTTATCACAAAATTCTAAAGATTGACGTTGAGCTGAAGAGTAAATTCGATGAGCGCTATTAGCCAGTCCACTGTGGAAATATTCATTGGCTTTTACTTGAAGGTCTCTAAGTTCAGACGCCTGATCGGAGTGGGACAAGCCTGTGCTTCTGGGACGAGTTGCTTGAAGCGAGATACCTGCAAACGAGACAAAGCGTCAGATGGAGCATTGTCAATTCCCGGTATATGAACAGCTTTGAGAAATATGTTAGATTTGCTACACACGTAGAATAGATAGCGCATGAGTGACATGATATGTCGACCTTTACTAGAGCCGGACGCCATAATATCGACTACAGCCTTGTTGTCGCAATGAAAGATGATATTTTGAGTTTCAAGCTGGGACGACCACATAGTGATTGCCATGGTGATTGCGAATAACTCTTTGAAAGTTATGGAGCGGCGATTAGGGACTCCCACCGCTTCAAATGCTCCACAAAACCACCGATTACCAAATAGTCCACCAAAGGAGCAAGTGCATGCATCTGTGTATAGATGTAAGCAGTCGTTGGTGAGCCACTGATCGCCGAAGAAGAGGCTGCGGCCATTCCAATCGCGAAGAAAGGTTAACCACCATTTGACGTCCTTGAAGAATCGTTTATTTAAACGAAGGTGATGAGTAGAGTGTTTGACAGTTCTCCCTGGACGACAAACGGAACAGATGAAATTCAGCTTTCCAATCAGAGATTGAAGTTCCCGTTTTATATAGGAAGTGCGACTTTGCCATGTTGAGAGTAAATCAATTGTCTCTTTGAGGCGCGTTTCTGATATGCGAGCTTGAAGGGTGGTAGTGTCAAGTTCGATTCCTAACAGTTCTAAGTTTGTACATGGTTGAACTGTTTTCTTTGGATTTACAGAGAAACCCAGATCGTGACATACGTTTAGCATAACATCCAAGTTGTGTTGACAGTGATTGGCAGGGCTTGGAGCACCRCACGTCCAGAAGTCGTCCAAATAATGCCACACAGGAAACACCCCGCGGTGAAGCATGAYCGTGGCCAGTGTATCAGCGAATTTTAAAAATAGTGCTGGTGATGAGCGTAGTCCAAATGGTAAGAAAGTGTCGAGAAAATAAGCTTGAAAAATTGATCCGTTGATCTCGATGGGCCATGTCGACCCTAATAGTTCCCAGTCGTGGGGATGCACGAGAATATGACGAAAGGCGTCCGTCAAATCCAGCTTACTCATTAAGGCACCTTTTCCGTATTGTCTTAGRTGAGTTATAGCGGTGTCRATCGTATCGTATGTGCATGAAAAGTTTTCTTTGTTTATCYCGTCGTTAACTGACTGGCCGGCGGGCCAAGATAAGTCGTTGATTATGCGCCATTTGAGAGGCGTCGAGCGCTTTTTGGGGATAGCGCCCATCGGCGATCCGATAAAATGTTGGCATGGAGGGCTCAGAAATGGACCGATCTTGCGTTTAAGACTAATTTYGCGTTCAAGTTCCTGAGCGATGACTTTTGGGTTAGATAAGGCAGATTTGTGGTTCGGTGAAATGAGGGAAGTCCTGACGCCATCGTRGCCGATGCGTACGCCGTGTTCAATTTGGTACAATAGTTCATTGGTAAAGTTTGAATCAAAATAATCACGTAATGASTTCGTCCACTGTTCGGTGTTGAAGGGGGAACTAAGTTTCGTTGGAAGAGACCTTGCAATCGGCCATTGCATGGTCCACCCGACAAGCCTTGCAAACGTGGGCTCGCTTGCAGTCCTTTCCTTGTTGGCACATTCGTCGTTGGAAGAGGTTACATCCCTCCGTATTKTTGTGGAACCATCTGTCGAATTTCCACCGTTCTAGTCCTGTTTCCGCCTTTTTGCCGCTTTTATTTTCGTCCACCGCCGTCCTCGCGCGAAAGGGACAATCGCGCACGARATGGTATTCCGATCGGCAACGTTGACATGCTATTGCTTCTCTACGGACTGCAGAAGAGTCGAGGATCGTTGTGTAGAGCGTTGGGTCGATTTGATGGAAAGGCCCTGGCAACGTAGAGAGGTTCTGACGATACTGCACATCGAACTCGTAGACAGCTTTCCATTGAAATTTCCGATATTACTATGATTCGGTAACTCGAAAGTTCCTGATAGAGTGATGGGTCGGTCGTCACTAGTTTGCGTTCGTATCTTGACCAGGCTTCAAGCCAATGATCGAAGGATTCGATCGTAGGGCTTTTGCTTCCGTTGGCGTCTTCCCCAGTTGAATCGTGGGGTTTAGGTAGGAGGGTGGACAGGTCGACATAGTTATAGCTAGAAGACGTTTCGTTGAAATTACCTGAGCTCGCGCGAGCTTGCAAACCTGTAGGAATTGTCGGGCCATTTTGTTGCAGTAGGTCACGGAGATCCTTCTGGTCGAGTTGTAGCTTCCCCACTTGTTGCGATAGAAGCCTTATTGCGTTGAGTAACTCTCCATTGGCCTGTGTTGGGGAAGTCTCATGGATATTAGCCTCGTGGTCGCTGTATTCGTCGTAATCGCTACTGGGTCCCTGGCAAGATTTGTGCATCTTACCAAAGCGATGATTTTCCTGTGTCGTGTGACACCCTGGACAGTAGCGCTGTCGCTGTTTCTTTTTTGATATCATAGTGAAACGATTATTGACTATATTGACTATTGACTATGAAAACGCGTAGACTACAGAACAACGAACACTGCAATATGAAACACTACACTTAATGTACGTGATCTAGTTACATAGCTATGTTGTGACAGGTAACAGAATCCCTACCGCTCCACTCCCATTAACCTATGTTAATACTTAACATCACTTATTAAAGATGGGGATGTTGAAACGAATCCAGGTCCCGAAATTGCACGTTGAGAAAATCTAAAGCAGATAGTTCTTTCCGAAGATCGAAAATTTATACAGCAAATAATCGGAACATAAAAATCGCTCATTTAAACGTTCGCTCTCTCAAGAATCAACAACATTTTCTTCTCGTGAAAGACATCATTTTAAAGTACAAATATGATGTTTTACTGTATCCGAAACGTGGCTTAAAGATGTAGTTCATGACCTTGAGCTGGAAATTCCTGGATACAACCTCTTCCACCTTGACCGACCAGGAAAAAAGTGCGATGGAGGAGTGTGTGCATATATTTTGCAACCATACAAGCCGAAGTTCTTCAAAATATCAGCAGTGTATCTGACGCCTGCTTCCATCATCTTTGGGTTAAAATTCAAGTTAGGAACCTTAAATCCTTCGTGKTTTGTACCATATACAGGCCACCTGATACTCCATCAACCTGTTTTGAATCGGACTTATCTCCAAGTTTCATAATCGCTTCATTGTTAAACAAGCCAATCTACATTCCTGGCGATGCTAACTACAACCGACTAAATCCTCAATGTTCTGACTCTGGTGCTCTTTTGGATTTTATCAACTTGTTTAATTTAACACAACTGATCAATTCACCTACGAGGGTCACTCAAACTACTGAAACTCTTATTGATATTATATTGGCGTCAAATATGAAACAAGTCAARGAAGCCAAGGTAATTCCTTGCTMAGTTAGCGACCACGACCTCATTYATGCTAARCTACAACTTAAACAGKACAGACCTAAACCAACTTATATCTACACCAGGAGTTTAAGACCGATAATCCTGATTCTTTCCTGGACGAAGTGCAGAAAATACCCTGGAGCGTAATGGATATATTTGATGAAATTGACGATAAACTATCTGTCTTCAACTCCCTATTTCTAGATGTCCTAGACGAACATGCTCCTTTGAGGATGATCAATGTTTGTGGAAGAGCCAATCCTTTTGTGACAGAACAAATTCGTGAACTAATGAAAACTCGTGATATGTTCCAAAAGCTTGCACGACRGACTAAAGATCCACTTGCCTGGAATGCTTTCAAGGACTTTAACCGAGARGTTAAGAGAGAAATAAGAATGGAAGAAAGGAGGCATGTGATGGAGCAAATATCCAATAATAAGAACAATTCAAATTCTCTGTGGAAAACCATCCGCATCTGTTTACCYAAAAGATCAAGAAATGCCAAAACCTACAGTAMAGATGATCAAACAAMAGCCGAAGAGTTTAACGAGTATTTMATCAACGTTGGWAAGAKCACTGTCAAGAAGATTAACGACTTGGCCGTTAAACTTAACTATGATCAGTGCAGTGCTAACTTTGAACCYYAAACGTATGCCATTGAGGARCAGTTCAACTTTGGCCYCATCAAAGAAAAAGATGTAGAATCCATTATCAAGGGCATGACAATCAATAAAGCTCCTGGATATGATAAGATACCTGTAAGGGTCATCAAGGATAGCCTACCAGCTGTTCTGCAAGCTGTTACAGCCCTCATTAATTCCTCCTTTGAGACAAGTGTTTTCCCCAATAAATGGAAAATCGCAGAGGTACTTCCCATTCATAAGGACGGTGATCATGAATTGCCTATGAACAATAGGYCCATCTCGTTGTTACCTGTACTGTCCAAGATTTGTGAAAGAGCTGCCTATGACCAACTTACAGCATACCTTCAAACAAATAATAGGATGTCTATCAGTCAAAGTGGATGCAGAGAATATCATTCAAACAAGACCTCTGTATTATTCACTACAGATAACATCCTTCAGTCCATCGATAACAAAAAAACTGACCGCACTCGTGCTGTTAGATAAGAGCAAGGCTTGAGCAAGGTTTGATTCAATAAACCACCAGAGATTGCTACTAAAATTACAACACGTCGGAGCCTCACCTACTGTAATAACTTGGATGCTCAGTTATTTGTCAAATCGCTACCAAGCTGTACGAATCAACACGTCTCTTTCCAAACCATTACGAGTAGAATACGGAGTGCCCCAAGGAAGTATTCTTGGTGGCCTATTATTTAACATCTTTTTTAACGATCTACCTTCGGGAGCACAAGACTGTCTTACACAGAACTACGTAGATGATACTAAGTTAATGATCTCTTTTGTCCAAAAGATCAATCTGACGCCACGACGAAGATCATTGGTGGTGACTTACGGAGAGTACAAGATTGGTGCCTGGAGAATCAACTCTTGCTGAATCCTGATAAAACTAAACTACTCTTATTTGGGAGCCGTCAGATGCTTGCAAAAGTAGATAATTTCCAAGTGTCTCTTATGGCAAAGCCGCTAACTCCATCTCATGCAGCAAAAGACCTTGGGGTATTTCTGGACAGCAATTTGACATTTAATGAACATATAWCACAAACAGCGTCATCTTGTATGGCACGCTTGGGACAAATTAATAGAGTGAAACATTGTTTCGATAGACAAACACTGATTATCTTAATTAATGCTCTAGTTTTTAGTAAACTTTTTTATTGTTCGTCAGTCTGGAGTAATACGACAGAAACTAATCTCAATAAGATTCAGGCTATGCAAAATTTTGCTTGTAGGATTGTTTCAGGGGCCAAAAGGTATGATCACATCTCACCTATACTAAAAGAACTTAGATGGTTGGCAATTAGAAAGCAACTAGTTTTTAGTAAACTTTTTTATTGTTCGTCAGTCTGGAGTAATACGACAGAAACTAATCTCAATAAGATTCAGGCTATGCAAAATTTTGCTGTAGGATTGTTTCAGGGGCCAAAAGGTATGATCACATCTCACCTATACTAAAAGAACTTAGATGGTTGCCAATTAGAAAGCAACTATATGTGACAGAGTCAAAAGACACTATTTTGGACAGTAATTATTTAGTCATAAATCTATATTTTTAATTAGGAAT